TGTATTTCCCTGATTAGTGATGTTGAATACCTTTTCATGGACTGGCCATTTATTTGTATGTCTTTGGGAAAATGTCTGTTTAGTTCCTCTGTTCATTTTAAAATGGACTGTTCTTGTTGCTGAGTTGTAGGAGTTCTTTGTGTATTCTGGACATTAATCCTTTATCAGATACATGATTTGCACCTATTTTATCCCAGTCAGTAGGTTGCTTTTTCCACTTTGCTGATGGCTTCCTTTGCTATGCAGAAACTTCTGGTCTGAGGTAACCCCACTTGTTTATTTTTTGCTTTTGTTGCCTTTGGTCTTAAATCCAAAAAGATTATTGGCAAAACCAGTGTCTAGGAGCTTATTACTCCCTGTAATTTCTGATAAGCAGTCAGTGGTAATTCAGATTATAGTACATCTTTTTTCTGGGGTTGCTTTCAATATTTTCTCTTGGGTCTCAGCAGCTATATATTTTGCATAGGACTGGTTTTCTTCATATTTTACTGTGCAGTGTTCTCTGAATCTGTGTTTATGTCACTCACCAAATTGAGGAAAATTGATGTGATTGGTCATCACATATTTTCTCCACCTTTTTTTCTCTCTTGGGACTTTCAGATATTGTCCCACAGGTCTTGGGCTCTGTCATATCTTTGCCTCTCTGTTCATCATCTTGAATACATTTTTAGTAGCTGCTTTGAAATTCTTGTCATCTTGGTTGGTCTCTGGGTTACATTGTCCCGATTCCTCATATGTTGTCATTTTGGATTGTAGTATAGACATTGTTGTTAGGTTGCTAGATTCTGTTAGGTTCTACAAAACATTTTATAAAGGTGTTCTAGAAAAACATCTATAAAGCATTGATGTTTTTGTCTTTTTTAAAGTATTTTTATTGATTTTGCTATTACAGTTTTCCCACTTTTCCCCCTTTATCCCCCCTCCACCCTGCCCCCCACCCCTCCAACATTTGCCTCCCCCTTAATTCATGTCCGTCAGTTATACATATAAGTTGAGTTCTCTGTTTCCTATATCATTTTTTATCGCTCCCTATTTTATGCCTACCAATTATGCTTCTTCTTCCCTGTACCTTTCCCCCCTATTCCTCCCTTCCCCCTCCCCACTGAATTCCCTCTGTGTGATGTCCATTTCTCTGATTCTGTTCCTGTTCTGGTTGTTTGCTTAGTTTTTGTTTTCATTGTTTTTCTTTTAGGTTCATTTGTTGCTAGTTGTGAGTTTGTTGTCATTTTATTGTTCATATTTTTATCTTTTTCTTAGATAAGTCCCTTTAACCTTTCATATAAGAGCTTGGTGGTGATGAACTCCTTTAATTTGACCTTATCTGGGAAGCATTTTATCTGCTCTCTCATTCTAAATGAAAGTTTTGCTGGATAGAGTGATCTTGGATGTAGTTCCTTGCTTTTCATGACTCCACATACTCCTTTCCGGCCCCTTCTTGCCTGCAAGGTTTCTTTTGAGAAATCAGCTGATAGCTTATGGGAACTCCTTTGTAGGTAACTTAATGATGATGTGCCTTGGGTGTTCCTCTTTGGGTCCAATTCTTTGGAACTCTCTGGGCTTTCTGGACTTCGGGGAAGTCTATATATCCTTTGCCAGATCGGGGAAGTTTTCAATATCTTGCTCTGTTCTTCTCCTTCTGGCACCTTATCTATAACTTGGATATTGGAACGTTTCAGATTGTCCCAAAGAATCCTCAGTCTCTCTTCGTTTTTTTGGATTCTTCTTTCTTTGATCCAGTTGGATGTTTATTTCTTCCTTATGTTCCAAATTGTAGGTTTGAATCCTGGTTTCCTTCTTGTCACTGTTGGTTCCCTGAATATTTTGCTTTATTTAATTTCGGGTATCTTTCATTTGTTCTTTCATTTTTCGACCAAACTCAATTCTCAACCAAACACAGAACTTTTGACCAAACTCAGTTCTGTGAGCATTTTGATTACCTGGGCTTTAAATTCTCCATCCAGATAGGTTGGCAATCTCCTCATCGCTTAGTTCCCTTTCTGAGGTTTTGCTGTGTTCTTTCATTTGGGCCGTATTTCTTTGTCTTGATGCAGCTGGTAGGTTGTAAGAGGGTAGGGTCCTAGGTATTAACCCAGGCAGGGCAACCCTCTTGGCTGCGCCTGTTGGGGAGGGGCCAGAGGGGGAACAGTGCAGCTCACTTGCTAGTCTCTAGCACACTTTCCAACAGAGTCTCGAGTCAGACTGGAAGCATCTCCCCCTGCAACAACCCCAGCCACAGTCGGCTTTGAGTCTCAGTTTTCCCTTAACTCAACCCCACGCCTCAGCTGCCTTACTGTGGTTTTTCTGAGTGCTGCGGTTTTTCTGAGTCAGGCCACATGGTCCACTTTATGGGTCTGGTTGTTCTGGTTGATTTTTTAATTCCTTGGTTGTCGGAGTTCCATGCAGTTTGATTTTCTGGTGATTTTGGTTTATTGATTTTAGATTCGTTGTTATCCTCCTTTTGGTTGTGTGAGGAAGCACAGGGTTCTTCTACCTAAGCCTCCATCTTGGCTGGAACTCCTGTGATGTTTCTGTCTTAATAATAGGCAGGTAGATATATTGTTTAGACTCAAACTCTTGGGTAGCAGTTCAAACCTCAGTTCAGTTCTTTTATCCTAGCTGAGTTGCCCTGAGCCTGCCACACTGGGTCAGAGGTTTGGGCAGAGTTAATGCACTGTTTTGGAGCACCACCTCTCAGGCCTTGACTTTGTTGGATTGCTTCCTCCCTTTCCAGTGGCTTATTTCTTCCAGTTCTGTCTTTTGTTCTTCAGGCCAGAAAGACTGGATTTTACCACTGCAGGTTTATCTACCCTGAATAAATACACATCCAATTTTGGCCTGCTGCTGGATAAAAACTATTATTTCTATAAAGATAACTCACCTCTTTGCCATTCCATTCCTTTAGGTGTCTAACCTCTTGAAGAATCCTGCTTTTGTTCATTCTGCAGTGCCTTTAGGTCTTTTAAAAATGTTTGTGTTTCTGGTTATCTGCAAGAAGTTCAGGCCTAGGAGAAGCAGTAATGGTTCCTTTAAGTTGCATATTAATTGCTGAAGGCTTGGTATTTTGCCATATTTTCCTTATGTGATGTTATCATGTGTCCACCAGAGGGCAGGAGTGGCAAGGGTTCAGCCTGTACAAAGGAGCTCTGCTGGAGTTGTCCAAAAATTCTCATTATTGCTGTTTGAATCTTCCCTGGCCTTAGTTTCCATAGATGACGATGTTTTTATGTATTCTGCAAACATTTACTAGTACCCACTACAGGCCAGGAACCTTCAGGCTAAGCACCATTGGGGGCTATAGAGATTAGTATGATACAGATTTTCTGGTGACAAATTCTTTATTAGAGGCCCAAGGCAGATGTCAGAGCAGGGAACGCACTTGGATCTATCTGGGTGGAAGTGTCAGGGAAAGCTGTGAAGATTGAATTCTTCACCATGTGTGCTGAGAGTGACTGGACAGAGCAGCATGGGTGCCAATTGATAAAAATTTTGTGTTTGGAGAGCAGTGGGAGTGGTCACTGGGGTTGGAAGGTATGTAGAGGAGAATGTGGAAATGTCTAATGGGGCAAAACAGGTGACCCATTGGAGATGCTCCTCTGTGGTGGTGTGAAGAGGTTGGAACCTGGTGGTGGGGGAGGCCAATTAAGAAATGACTGACAGGCAGGCCGCAGAGTTTGGCATCCTAAGAGTTTCAGCAGTGTGGGAACTGAAACAAGCAGATTTGGGAGTGCTCTGTAAGCAGAAGTGTAATAGTTGGATTTGAGAGCTGAGAACAAGGAGTGAAAGTGAACTGAAAGCTTTAGTCCTTGGTGACCAAATAAGGCGCAGGGGGTGTGGGTGGGGGAGATGACAATTATTTTGGGGGTGGGTACTAGAGTTAAAGCTTGTGTCCAACAGACTCTGATAAGAATGAACTGCTTGAGCGGTCAGTTGAAGATTTGTTCAGAACCTTGGGGGTGGCAGGCATGAAAAGTGTCAGGTCAACAACTCTGCTTCAATCTACTCCCTTGGCCTCGTGTGCTGGAATCAGACCTTGGGAGTAGCGCACCCAGGCAAGCAGCACATTTCCTTCCCCCTCTGTGGACAGTTGTTAGGGTCTAAGAGACCTTGATCGCTGGTCTCTTGCTGCCGTCCCCTTGTCTGAGAAATTCTGGGGTCCATCCTCTGCCACCCAGGGAGCCGCCCACCTTTTCTGCGATTTGGCTTTCTTTCTGCAGCGTCCCTTCCCCAGCATTCCCATATGACCCTCTGGGTTCTTGGGCTTTCTTTTCTTCAAGTTGGGGTCATTTATGAAAATTTCATTTGAACAAGAAATGGGAATTCTCTATTTGGTTGTGATTTTCCTCAGGAGCAGGGGTTCTTAACATAGGCATCCGTAGGTACAATTCAGAGGTGGAAAAAAATTAAATTTTAATATCTGTACTTCATAAACCTGCATTTTATGCATTTAAAAACACTGTTCAAAGAGGAGGAGTCTACAGCACATAGTTTAGAACCCCTACTCCAGAGGGTGTCGACCAAGGAAAATTGGAACGAGACCTTTAACTTTAGGCAGCTAAAATTCACCACTTTCCTATGACTCCCAAATCAAGGCTTCCTGTGGTCACACTGACACCATTGCTGGCCTGGAGAAAGGGAACTTCCCTGGGTGGAGCTCCTGCTGGGGTCTCAGAACTCAGGCTTCACTTTGGAACCCGTGACAGCTGGTTTGAGGAATGATGGATCAAGCCTACATTCCCTGTGGCCTTTCTGGAACAGAACAAAAGTCTCAGAACAGTGGAGTGCCCTCATGCAGGTTAAATTCTGTGTGAGGCCGTATGTCACGGTGGGAATTTTATCCAGCAGCTTGGAAATCAGCATCCCATCCTTTCTGAGCTTCTGCTTCCCTACCTATAACATGAGGTTGACCCAGTTCTGGCACTGTAGGCAGGGATGCAGAAAAGCAGTGGTTTATATGGACTTTAGACTTTCCCACTACCTTGATTTTGTTTTCTGCTTTTTAGGAAAAAAGCTTGTAAGTACTTTGAGCAAGGCAAGGGGACCTGCCCATTTGGAAGCAAATGTCTTTACCGTCATGCTTACCCTGATGGGCGACTGGCAGAGCCTGAGAAACCCCGGAAGCAGCTCAGTTCTGAAGGCACTGTGAGGGTAAGGACTTTGCCATCTCTGGTCCGAACACTCACTCACCTGTGGCCCTTTCTCTAATAGCTTTGGCGACCAGAAATGGATAAAAGAAAAAAAATGAGCTACCAGTCTTCGTGTTGCCATTTATAATAACCAGGTATGTTTACTGGCTATTTTTGCAGTTCTTCAATTCAGTGCGGCTCTGGGATTTCATTGAGAACCGAGAAAGTCGGAATGTCCCCAGCAACGAAGATGTTGACATGACTGAGCTTGGGGATCTCTTCATGCACCTGTCTGGTGTGGAGTCATCAGAACCCTGAAGAATAGATGGGTCACCTGCATCTTGGGCTCTGCCAGCAGAGCTTCCTTTACTGCAGCTCCAGGTGGCGTGTTGCTTGGATTTGAGTGGGGTTGTATTTAATCTTGGTCTCACCCATTCTCCACTATTACAGCCACGAGAAGAGTGAAGGATATAAAATAACCCAACAAGTGTATGGAATCACTACTTTTATAGTTAATACCTTAGTTGCACCTCAGGTTCCTCAGGGGGAACCAGCTAAACAGCCAGGCTGAGTTTTGATTGATTGCTTTTAAAACAAATTTGGCTCCTGTCCTTCATGAGCTTTAGCTCCCTGAAAACAGTCAACGTGCAGTTGCCCTTAGAACAGATTTCATTTTCTTTCCAACAGATTCTTCACTCCTACAAAGGATTCCTACAGTTAATTTCCATAGTACTTGTGGTCAAAAACCATACAAAGCTTTTCCAGAGGTGAAAAATGGGTACTGCACTCCTTAGTGTCCCAAATCAGAGCAGGAGTCTTATTGCCGTATATTTAGTAAGTAGAGTATAAACTTTCTTCCGTGTAAGGGAGGCTCTTGAAATAGCAGAAAGTGTACAGAGTAGCAGAGGTATATAGCCCCTCAATTCTGGCTGGTTTGGGGGGCCACAGCTGGAAGAAACCTTGTACTCGCACCTCCAGGGAAACATGTCCCTGGTTCTCTCCCCTGTGGGCACAGGCTCTAAGGTAATTGTGCTGAGGATTCAGCACCCATGTGCTCTTATGTGTGGCTCCTACCCAAGTCATCTAGTCTTACCTGTAAAGCTTGGCTTTAACTTGTGAACACTGAACAGCATCCAAAAAAGTCCTGTTTCTGACCCAGCAGTAGTCCTCAGCATGAAATCTGTCATCAGTTGTGATTTTAATTGAAGGAGCATAATCTTGTGAATCAGAACTCATTCTAACCCTGAATTACGTATTTTTATAAATAGCTAGAGATATCAGATATTTTGTAAAGTGCATTAAAGTGTGGGTAGAAAAAGATCTATTCTTACCTGAGTGCTTTATACATCATTTTTATAGTTAACTCTTTAGTGAAGGGTGACAAAGAACACAGGCAGAGGTTGAATTAAATCCACTCTCAGCAAAGGCTCTGGGCCCATTTCCTGCTAGTTGAGTCTTGTTCCAGAAGGGATGAACAAACAGTTCAAGCTGTGAGCTCATGCTCAAAAGAAAGAAACAGCCATTAAGCCTACATTTAATTTATTTTATTAAAATAACATAATTGAGCCATTGAATAACTATTTCATCAGGCGCAATAAAAACAAAATTAAAATCCAATCAAGAAAACCTGTATTCCTGGCTTCCTTGCATACATATGCTGTGATTGTTGAGAGACAAAGCTGGCCAGTGGCCCCACCCCATAGGGGCAGCTCCTGGAAGACAAAATTCAGCGTGATGGAAGACTGCTCCCTGAGAGGGCAGAGACTAGGAGGGACAGGCCAGGTCCTCTTCTGAAAAATCATCCCAATGCATCATCAGAGACCCCCAAGAAATGGAAGTGTCCCACAGTACCAAAGCAGACTCCTTTAGGCGCTGAGATGACAGTCCTGGGCTGTTTGGTGCATTATGTGCAAAACTACCTGTTTGATGCCACACCACTAACTGAAGAAAAGTACTTCCTGTGATATAAGCATTCCTCATAGGACCTGATACTCAAAATTTATCCACGTTTCCCCTTCAGGGCTGGTTTGCCTACCTTCATTTTCCCTCTGACGACTTTTTCTTATCCTAAAAATACTCTTAGCCAATAGCCAGGGTCCCAGATCATGTATCGCCATCAGCAGCCACTGGTGCAGCTTGGAAGAGGCTCAGCTCATGAGCATGGGGGATGCAGGTGGGGAGCAGGACAAACCAACGTTGTGAATGGCCTCCCTCTCCCATGGCCAGAAAGGGTAGAAAAGAAGGCAACATGAAGTAAGGCCCTGTGAATAGTCTAGAAGGTCCTTAGCAGCAGCAGCTTCTCTGAAAACGAGCTCTCTGCTTCCACAGAAAGGGAGCAGAAAGGTGGTGCCTGCTGACTTCCCTTCTTCCCCTGGTGGCCTGAGTGCAGGTGCAAAGTCAGCTAGAAAACAGGCAGTCTAGGGGACGTGGTCAGTGTGCAGGCATTGATGTCCTCGGTGTGGGCCGCCCGATGCAGGGATGGCTCAGAAGCGCTCCGGTTGATTTTCGGTAGAGAGTGTTGGAGCAGCTCAATGGAAGACAGGATCTGAAACAAAGGCAAGTGGTCTTGTTATGTGGGCCTTGGCATTTTCACAGCAGCTTTTGATCAGGAATTGAAAGATACACTGCTCTCACCTGTAACATCCTGTGGAGAGTAAGTGCCCTCCCTATTAAAAAAAAAAACAAAAAAACCTTCCCTCCTCCTTTCTCATTAAGACCTTCTGCTTTTAATTTAATCCATTCCAACACCTTTGAGGTAAGTCCTACCTGGGGAAAAAGAGGCCTCTCTTCCTTAACTTTCTTCACGCAGTCTGCAACAAGCCGCTTCATTGCTTTGGGGCAGTTCTTGTATAGCTTACTAAGGTCTGGGGAGGCATACCCGCGGCCCACCATGAAGATGATCTGAGGGGGAAAGAAAACAGTTGAAGGAATACATGAATAAACACCAGTGAAACCAGGGGCTTCCACAGAAGTTGAGTCCTTTGTGGCAGTGCACGTACCTGATCTCGGTTGTTGATGTGGGAGTAAGGTAGCTCCCCTGTCATAAGCTCATACAGCACAATGCCATAGGAGTAGACGTCAGACTGGAAGCTGAAAGGGTTATTATCCTGCATTCGGATCACCTCTGGGGCCTACAGGGACAAAAGTTGCATTCATCACCACCTTGGCCCTTAACAGATCCAGGGGCCCAACTATCCCTTGCACTGGGTATGTGAGCCTTTCCTCTGCCCTCTATAGCTTTTCTCTAAACAGCCCCCGCAACAAACCTTCAGGCGCTGCCTATTCAAGCTCAGAAATCCTAGTCTTGGCGTATGCTTTCCTATCACCCAACTCCTCCAAGCTGTTTCAGCATGGTTCTGATCATCAGCTTTCTCCAAGAAACCCAAATTCACCCCAGGCTGTCTGAGGTCACCAAAAACATCACTGAGGTGGCCTGGACTTTGGGGAAATGTGGAGAAATGCTTTAAGTCTGCACACAGACTTCAGGGCACCTCTTCTGCCCTGCACTGTGCTGGTGTGAGCCTCGCCTCCTTACCATCCACAGGATAGAGCCAGTGGGTTGTTCAACCTGCTGTGAACCACTCCAGCGTGACTTTACTGTTGCCAAACCAAAATCTCCAATTTTCACGGTCAGGCCTTCATGGAGAAATATGTCTCAATGCTTGTTAAGGACTCTGGTTTCAAAACACTGGTCAGGTTAATTTTTAAAAACTTACCAAAGTTCTTACTAGCATAACATCTCTCCCCCTCCCATCTGCCCCAGCCTTCTCTGGACTGGATCTGCTAGGGTTTCTGAAGTTTTAAAAAGTGCTCTTGAAAGGTCCCTTCTTTCAAGAGTCACATGGGAATGCAAGATGATTCAGCTCCAGCCCCATTTATACCATCTATGTGCCAGGTCCCTGGTCTGTGACCTTCCCACATAATGTAGGTGCCTTAAACCCAGAGAATTCTGAGTGCAGGCTGCCTTCTGGTGCTGCTCAGAGCCAAGCATGGACTGCTGATTCTTTACCTTCATTTCTGCCTGCATTCTGCCCTCAAGAAAAATGTAAATAACAAAATAGCAAATCTCTTAAGTGCTGAATGCTATCCTAAGACATTTCTCAGTAGAACAGGTACCACTTGGTAACCTCAAAATCAGGACCAAACTCACTTCATTTCTGTGTACAGAACTCAGGCAGTTTATGGCTGACTTCTGATTCACACCTTAAAATCTATGGTGTCTGCTTTCATGGCATAACGTGTTGGTTCCAAACCACCCACTACAAAAAGGTATTCCATGCCTCCTCAGACAACTACCCCAAATAAGCTGTGCCCCATAACCCAAAATCAATGCAGTTATGCCGCTCGTGGCCACCAAGCAAAGTTTGGCTGTACCGCCACACTCCTTTCAAACAGAAAAGCTGGAGGAGGAAGGGAGGTGTAAAACTGTTACCTCTCATGCCCTTTAGTGTGAAAAAGAAAACCTTAATTCATTATTTCTATAAAAATACATTGTCTTGGAAAGAGAATTGATTTTAATAGGAACCTCTAAGGAAACTTCCTACATATTTAAGACAAGTATAAGTAATTTTGAAAATCTTACATTTGGCTTATAGCTACTTTATGACCAGATACATACTCTCCACAACTAGGGGAAAAAACATGAAAGACAAGAAAGCCCCACCCCAAGTTAAAAAGTTAGTACTAAACTGTGTAATAAAACTAGCCTATTACAAGCATAACCCAAAGATGTATCTCAACTTTTGGAAATTTTAAAAGTCCCCCTTCTGTTTTCCTAAATTTAGACCTGAGCAATTAAATGAAACCACCACCAAAGGATACTGTTGGATTTCATGTCTCTGTGGATGATGTTCTTTGCATGCAAATAGCTGTAAAGGGAAAATAACTATTAAAAACAGTTCAAGGGGCATGGCTAGAAAGCAGCTTCTAACTACAGCTACGAAACAAACCACCTGAGGGCCTGGATCCCGGTGTAGTTGCATTCAGGTATGGTCACAGCAAAATGGAACGACTCTTTAAGCATCATTTTACTCAAAAAAGGAATTCTTACCATATATCCATTCAATGGAATATTACCAGACACAGAAAAGAATGAAGCACTAATATATACAATGTGGATGAACCTCTCAAAAACATGCTAAAAGAAGCCAGACAGCCTGGGTTGCAGGCCAGTTCCCAGCAGGGGATGCACAAGAGGCAACCGTACATTGATATTTCCCTCTCCCCTTCCCCTCTAGAGATAAATAAATAAAATCTATCACAAAAAGAAGCCAGACAAAAGACCTGATACTTTGAAAAAGTTCTAAAATTAGCGATGGTTGCCCAAATATACACAAAACTACTGCATTGTACACTTGAAAGGGGAAAATTTTATGATGTAAATTTTATCTCTAATTTTTTCCTAAAAAAGTAATTGTGACTAGTTATTTCCTAAAATGTATGGTAGAACATGAGTTTTTTTTTATAGCACTTAGAAGCACAGCTTAGCTTAAGGCGCACACAAAAGGGTAGTGTTAGTAGAGGTGCTGAGGAATACCTTTCTCCAAAAGAAAAATAAATTGCCCTGGCTGGTGTGGCTCAGTGGATTGAGTGCCTGCCTGAGAACCAAGGGTTGCTGGTTGGATGCCCAGTCAAGGCACATGCCTGGGTTGTACCAGGTCCCCGTAGAGAGCATGGGAGAGGTAACCACACATCGACATTTCTCTCCCTCCCTTTCTCCCACCTTTCCCCTCTAAAATAAAATCTAAAAAAACTTCATCCAACACTTAATGCCCACAGAGGGCACTGCCGTGGGTGTCTGGCATATTGAGGGCAGTGGCTGAAAGCTGAATCTGAGCCCCAGTGGGGCAGCCTCAGCTTGGGTGAGGAACATGAAAGTGACATTCCTTCAGCCCCCACCAGAGGCTCTTTTTCAGATGTGCAAAAATATCACAGAAATCACTTAACAGACTTGGCTTTTCCTAATCCCGACTGCGATTTAGAGACAAACTGATGCTTGGAGCCCAGACTTTGTAGTTAGTCTACTCACTCCATTCCCTGAGCCGTCTGCCGGGCAATGTCAATCAACTGGAACATTTGGAACTTGGTCTCTTGGACATGCAGGTGTTTGTAGAGGCTGCTGCCTTCACACCACTGGGTCACTATCGCCAGATTGTCCTTCGTCATGTACCCCATGAAAAGCAAGATGTTCACGTGCCGTGTTTTACTGGAGGGGACAGGAAAGAAGGCTCTGAACTTCCCTTGTTTCAGCATAAAAAGATCTACTCTTCTTCTACACTGACACTGAATCCCATGTGTTTTCAACACCACCCATGCTTACAATCTGATAAGCTCACAGGGCTGGCAGAGCATACACACATGACTACAGACACTCCAGTGGGTGTTCTGAGCCATCAAAGGAGCCCACCACTATTCACCTCAGAGCAGGCCTTGTTTGCAGGGAGAACATACTTTTTATCAGCATACACTCACAGTTCTCCCCACAGGGGTCACCAGGACCCCGCATTGATGGAATTCATCAATATTCAATTTGCTGGTACAAGTCTAAATAGTGACTCAAAGATTTCAAAGCTGAAGGTTAAACACCCAGAATAAAGCAACTCGGCCATTACCCTGAGCTCATGGAAATGTCAAAATCAAACCTACTTCTCCTCCCTCAAACCAAAGCTCAAGTCAGAACCTATGCTATAACAGACAGTGTGCCCAGAGACCTAAAGCAGTGGAAGGGGGTAGCTCAGCAAAAGGGGTTCGCTCTTTTAAAGGTCTGAAAACCACATAAGCTACAAGGAAACCTGCAACTCCCTTTCACTTAAGGGAGGAGTTTCAACCACAGGTCTGCACTGTGCAGCCCACTTACTCTGTGGTTTGTATACCACCACCCATGCACCACCCTGGCCACTCCAGGGGGGCTGGACAGGCCAGCTTTCTACTCACCGCAGCACAGCCACCTCATTCCTGAAGGCCTGGAACTGCTCAGGTGTGGGGTCGACAACCTTTAGGATCTTTACTGCAACGTCTCCTGCAAATCAGGTTGTCAATACAATCAGTTGAATGATCTTTATTTTTCATATACCCTAGTTTTTAGATATAGTCAATCATTTATTCAAAAGTCATGTATTATACAGATGAACGAGGATGCAAATTTCTAAATTCTTTAAGTGGCTGAAAAAGTTATATAAGACTGGCAACCTGAGGCAAGGTCTTGTGTGCCAGCCACAACCTGGGCCTGTGAGGATGACGTCAGTGGGTGGATATGAACGGCCTGGCAGATTCCGAACCTTTCAGGCCGGAAAGGCTGGTGCTAGGCAGCAGGCCATTTATCAAGCAGTTGTTAAACTCAGCAGCCACATTTCATGAGACCTCAGATGTACAAAATCAAAGACACATTGAAATTAAGCTTCCCTGCTTTCAATACCATTCAGAAGAATCCCTAGTGATCACTGATTGCTCACTATACACTGGTATAGTGTCTTCACAGGCATTACCTCTAATCCTCACATTTGGTCTACGACATAAACACTGTTGTCATTTTACAGAAAACAAAAGTTTAGTCACAGATCATAGCTAGAAACCAAAGTGCCAGAACCGAGACTAGAACCCCAGCCTGCCTCCAGTGACTACATTTCCAACTACAATACTGACAAGTAACTAATCACTGTCAATCACTGTGAGCCTCTTCACATAACCTTAGAAATAGCCATGGGTCAATTCTACTTTATGTGTGTTACCAATTAAGAAGCCAACTTCAAGGCCCCCCGGCTGGTGTAGCTCAGTGGATTGAGCGCAGGGCCTGCGAACCACACGATCGAGGTTCGATTCCCAGTCAGGGCACATGCCTGGGTTGCGGGCCATTTCCTAGCGGGGGACTCAGGAGAGGCAACCATACGTTGCTGTTTCTCTCCTCTCTCCTTCCCTTCCTCTCTAAAGATAAATAAAATCTTAAAAAAAAAAAGCCAACTTCAAAAGTGCTTTTATGTCATATTATAGAAGCTATTTAATTACTTAAAGCCTAACAGGACCTCAGATTTTCATGACAAATGAATTTACTAAAGCACAGCCTTCTGGTGGTCAAAGTGGGACTTAATTAAATGACGACTTGAAGATACTTGGTGCTGCCACAGAGTAGGTGCATCGTACCTGTGCAGCCTCTGTTGGAGCATCCTTGTTTCCCTTTGTGGGAGCACCGACTGGTAGAGAGACGGTCCTTATGACAGATCCCAGACTGCTGCCCTGTGATCTCTGGTTCTGTCACCTAAAGCTTAAGTCCCCACTTAAGAACAGCCTCCACACGGGCTCTCATCCAGTCCACTGCCACAAGTCTTTTCCCAGAGCTCGGGGCTGCCTGCAAAGGCACTGCTGACCTGGGATGGAAGATGCACAGTGCATTCAGAGCTGCCTTCTACCTGGGAAGATGGAGCTAGTAAACCATCCGGCCCCAACCTCAGGCTCCTTAGGGCTCAATAGGACAAGCATTGTTAGCACAATTGCTCATTCTGGAGCAGTTTGGGTCAAGATGGGAAGGAGGGGACAGAAGTGGAGTGAGTCTTTTGGTAGGATGTAGAAAGGTCTGAAGCCTTGGGACAGAAGCCAAGGGGGGGATCTTACTAACTGGGAAAGAGGCAGCTTCAAACTTCTACACTGGGAACAAAGGTGAGGTAAGGGAGGGCTGGGTAAGAGAAACCTGACCTGTGCTCAGAAAACTCCAGCAAGGGATTTGGGCATCTGTGGGATGGCAGGGAAGCCAGAGAAGGAGTTCACTGCAAGAGCCCTGGTGAACAGGGCTTATCCCTATTAAAAGTTCATCTCTTCTTTGTTCCATCTTCTCAGCCAGCTCAAATCCTCTCATCTCTCTAAATCCTATTCTCCAAAGATATATCACAACTATGTGTCAGTCATCCACAATACCTGAGTCTTCATGAAGGTCACTGAAAAGAAGACTGAACAGGGTTAAACCAAACACAGAGCCCTGTGCCCCTGCTGGGACCCATCTGCCCACTAGCTTACAGGGAACAGTTACACTAACAGATTACATGACTATGCAGTTTCCCACTCGGAAACCCAAACTCTCTCTGACCCCATTCCCTAATTTACATGTAAATACTCCAAGGACTGCCATGACAGGCATTCAATCAAGTAGGAACAATGGGCAAACATAGGAGAATGGATGTCAAGTCACATAAAGAACACTTTTCTACTTGGCAGGAACTGTCCGGACCTAGAATAATAGCCCGTGGGACCCTACAGTCCCTGCCCCCAGGCCTCACTCCTACTTAGCCTTTCCCCTCTTCACTCTGCTGAAGCCAGCAAGACCTCCCTGACATCCTCAAACAGGCCAGGTGAGTGGCCTACCCTGCACCTGCTGTTGCTGCTTCCCCAGGTGTATGACTCACCCTCATGCCTCATGAAAATGCCACTTCCTCACAGACTCCACTCTATCAATCTACAAGAACTGTGAGCCGGGGCTGCCACTTCACACACACCACTTTCCTCCATCTTTCTCCTTAGTATAAAATACATTATATGCTTTACTTTTCGTGGATATTGCCCCCACCAGAATAAAAACTCCAGTAAAAGATTTTTTATCAAAGTTTTGTTTGCTGCTTCATTCCTAGCCCCTAGAAGAACACTTGGCATTAGAAGAGTGCCTGGGAAGAACTGCTAAGAAATGAATGAATTCTAAGATGCAACTGTCTACAAGATAAGTTATGAATCAACAAGCTGCCTGTTTGAGGCTCTGCAGTGGAAAGTGGGGAGAGAGAGCCTCTGGCAGGGAATACTGAAGACTCAGCTATACACAGCCCAGGTCAAGAATCAGTTTCTGGCGGGGCAAGTCAGGACTCCGTACCCAGTCTCAGGCCCCCAGGCACGCCTGGCTCTAAGCCTGTAGATTTAGGTCAGGGTCCAAAACAACGTCGGCTCTCCCAACTATCCAAATAACTCTTATAGTTGGCAATCTTAAAACATCTAAAGGATGGTACTTATTTACATTAGCAAGTAATATAAATGGCAAAGGTAAACAGCCGGGGAACTTTTTATGGAGGGTAGCTACATGAAGTAGTTAACCAGAACATCTTACTTTCCCCCTTAATAGTAAAATCAGAGGGGAAATATAGTACAAACAAGGTAAGATGTTCCTATTGGTTACTGCGTTTTAAGATATTAAGTTGATATCTCATTCATCATCATCACTGAAGAAGGAAGCACTATCTATTATTGGTAAATGTGCAATGCTTTTAACCTTTTTAAGTACAGATTCATTTCCGTTTAACCATTTAGGTTTTTCTAAAACATTATATACACTCCTGCTTTCTAGAATAGAATGAACACCATTCCTCCTGGTCACACTGACTCGGTGAGAGTTTTAAGCCTTGGCCCCAGGATGAGACAGGGATTCCCGGACAAGGGAGCCACCAGACTGCCTGCCTCACACTAAGTGGCCCGAGACGCTTCTCCAATTTGGAGATCTGCTCTTGAGGGTTTCTGCTCCTCCTCGCACTGTCCATGATGGTCCCTGCCATCAGTCTGACAGTCACTACTGCTGTGTTCATCCCTTTTAATGTGCTCTTTGTAGTTAGCAGAAACTAGCAAACAGAACCCAAACTTATACTTAAAAAAAGACTCTGTGCTTAGGCCAGATGGCCTCTTCTTTACATAAAAGAATGAACATGCTTTCATTCATGGATCTGAGTCTCCATCTTGCTTGCTTTGAAACCCTTCTGTTTACTTTCATAGCTGTTATAGACAGAATCAAAAACTTAAAAATCACCAATAGACTGGATAAAATAGACTTTAAATAGACTGGATAAAACATCACATACAGGAACCAGAAAAGCAGGGGAAGTATAGCACAAAACAATCTAGAAATTATGGTTTCCTTGACCTTTCTGTTTTTCTTCTTTATTCAGAGACCTTGGCTCACTTTCTGAGAGGCTGACATTAAAGTCAATTGCTCCCCCGCAACCAAAAAAAAAAAAGCCCATTGCTCCTCGTTCCTGATTTTTGAGACTGTTAAGTTAAAAAACTAGATTCTTAACAGCACTCAACATGTTATCTACCTTCTAACAGGAGTCTTCATGGCAAAACTAAAAAAGATTTTTATTTATTTTTAGAGAGCAGGGTAGGGAGGGAGAAAGAGGGAAAGAAACATCAATGAGTGAAACACTGATCAGTCGCCTCTCGCACGCCCCCAACCCAGCCCACAGCCCTGGCATGTGCCCTTTTGGTTTGCAGGCCAGCACTCAATGCACTGAGCTACACACTAGCCAGGACTAAATAAAATCTTTTTATAAATAAATAAATAAATAAAAAGAATGCTATGAAGTTTCACTGAGAGAGCCAATCTCAGATGTAATCAGTCCCCTGGAGACTGCTCCCTCAAGCCGCTGAGCTTGATGACTCTTACCCCCTGCAGACCCTCTCCGACTGAAACTTGACTTCACCCATGCCTTGAAGTCAAGGCCCCAAACTCACCATGCCACTTGCCCTTATAAACAGTTCCAAAGGAGCCTGACCCAATCCGAGTGGAGAGCATCACTTCACTGGCTTCTATTTCCCAGTAATAACTTGAATCTCTCTGTCCACGAGGCCTCTGAAACAAAGTTCATCAAATATACTCACTCCATGGAATGGCAAGGTTCTGTTTTTTAACAAGGGTCTCAAAGATCAACTCAACTCCATCTGTTCCCATATCTTTTAAAGATAGACATATTAACTAGAATTCCAATTTTTGTCTTTTGAGAAAATACCGTGTTAAGTCCCACCTTCCCTTAAATAAACCAGCAAGTTTTCCCAATGCTAGCAGACCCCAAATGGCACTGGCAGTTGGGATTCATTACATGTTTTTTATTAGAGTGCCCTCCTCCCCCACAAATTAAAAGCACTCTCAATTCTAAGTTTTTCTTACTGAACCCTAACCTGCAGGAGATACTATTGGCCATACTCACAATTTTGTTTTTCTCCTGGGTCCCAGATCCTGGTGCCCGCTCTCTCTGTGCTGGCACAGGGGTTTTGGGCTGTGACCAGCCTGTTGGGCTCAGATTGTTGGGGCTGCTGGACAAGGCTGAAGGTGAGGCTTAACAGACAAGACAAACAGAATCCACACATGGATCAGCCAACGGAAGATACCCAGCATAAAGAGAAAAAGCCCATTACTATTTGCTAAATGACTTTGGACAAGTACCTGATTCACTGTGACTTCGAATTGCATCCTGAAACAGAAAAGGAAAGCCAGTCAATTTCTGCACTAGAAAAGATGCTCTCGGGGGAAGAGGCAGAGGCGGATTTGCAGGAACAAAGACTATAAAACCTCTAAAATGCAGAAAGTCCAATTACACACTCTTTAAAAATTAAATTCACCAAATGTCAGTAGCTGGTATTTCCAAGAATGTTACCATCAAATATTAACAGGACTGATATTAATTTGTCATATATCATGAAAACCAAGTTCTTATCTCAGAAGCAAGCAATGCACACAGCAAACATACTCCTTTAGGAAAGCTAGCAAAGTTACCACCAGCGAAGATCTTCCCTGTGTTTGGGGATCTGGCTCTAGTGAGGCTCAAAAAAAAGTGGGGAGATCCACTGACAAATTCACTCTTACTCCTCTGAGAGTACACTCTCGCATGGACCAGAAACTGGATTTGATATGAGTGAGCACTACAGCTATATTACTTTATCTGAGCCTAAAATTGTGGAAAGATGAAAGGACCATAATCCCCTAGTCCAAAACCTAAACTTTACATATAAGAAAACATGTAACAGGACAAGAGACTTGGCCAGGGTCACAGTGCCAGTAGGTGGCAGAAACAGAACAAGAAACCATCACCATGGATCCTGGCCGGTGCCCCACGAAATGCTCCTCAGACCTCACTGTAAGCTCTGAAATTGGCTGCATTCTACTCAGGTGAGAGAAGTCAAATGCTAGCTTTAGAATTTATTACAAACTGTTTGGGTGGAACAGTTTAAATCACAAGGCCCTCCACAAAACCCAAATCCTCATTTTATATATCCTTACTTGAGAGTATATAAATAGCAAGAATATAAAACCACTTGGCACCCACATCCTTAAAAAGGTATTTTTCTGGGAAGTCCTAGTCTCTTTGTTTTCCTTGTGTCATCACAGCAAAGACAAGATACTTTTTCCACACAACTCCCACAGCAATGCTCCTGCTCCATGACATCGTTACAAGATTAAAAGAAAAATCATAAACCAAGCTGCCCACTCTGCCTTTGGCAGCTCCACCAAAGCATCTTCAGAGTTTGCCAATAAAGCCTGGTTCTGGGGTTCCCACACCTGGCAACCCTTCAAGAATCACCTAGAGGGGTGTTTAAGATGACAGACTCCCAACCCGTCACCCCGACCAGGACGGCGTAAGCATGTCCGGGAAAGCAGTGGCAAGTCCCAGGAGCTGTAGGTGCAACAGGACGACTGCCAGGTGGGCAAAGCGTTGGCCCAAAGTAAACGTGAATTTTATTAGAATACAAGGCAGCTAGTTTTATTACCCAACTAATCTATTCTTTTAGTTAAAGCATGGCCCAATCTGTTTTTATTGACTGGAATTATATTCCCACTTACTAGGATTTTTCCCTCCCCTGTGTCTTATTATGTACCTCATTATTTTATCCTGTGCTTATTTCTACACTTGGAATGATTTATCCTAGAAAGGACTTTTCAATCATCTTGGCACCTAAATATGAAAGAGAAATATAGGTGGCTTAAACAAAGCAAGAATGTATACTTGAAAAATGCTGAGTCATATGTGATAATAAAGAATCAAAATTTGCTGTCTCTAAAGTACAGAAAGGATTAAGCACACAGTAGTTCTAGTTTACTTTTATAACAAATATTCAAGAATTTTCACTTTTAATGTTTCCTCCAACAATTAGAGTATTTACACAGAAACCAGTCATATAATAGAAGAAAAGCAACTGGTTATTATATTATCATCAGGACTAATCATTGTAATAGTAGAAATAAAATTCATAGCTCACGTGACCTCCTCACAATAATCTTGTGATATTCAAAGTACACCCCACCCTACAAACGACTACAACAGACCCCACGTTCAGAAGCTAGTTTTCTGTGGAGTCCCTGCAGCCTGATTGGTAGGACAAGTATGTGCCTAAGTGATCTGAGGGCTGGGTGAGGTAAGCTGTGCCCGAAGAGGCAGGTGTCCCTGAGATTTTCCAAGGAACAAACCATGACATAGAGAGACCACAGTTGCCTCTAATAAGCTTTTATCAGAGACAAAGGATTTTCAGGGCCTATCAACCCAACTGATACAAACAAAATTATATTCTGGAGGGTGGGCCTCTTGTAGTACAGTCTTCCCTATCTGTATCGTGTACCAACTGAAGTTGCTGTGAGAGGCTGTGTTCAGCTTCAGTGAATTTCTTTTGATGACTCTTTCAAAATGTTTGCCCATTTCACAATGGGTTATTTACAAGCTCACCTCCCACAATGCGCAGAGTGTCCCGCAGTCTTGGACCAAAAACATTACCCCCATGCCCTACCCTCCCTGTTCATCTGATCTCACCCCAAATGACTTTATGACTTTTATTTTTGGTTTCCCCTGGATTAGAAAAGTCCTCAAAGGGAAAAGTTTTGCCAATGTGGAAGAGGTGAAACAAACAAACAAAAATGGCAGAGGCATGAGAAGGCATCAAAATTGATGAGTTCAAAAACTTTTTCAGCGTCAGGAAAAGTCTCGATACATGGATTGCGTCAAATGAGGAACGTTTTGAACATGACTGAAGTTTAAACATGTAAGATTAAACGCACAATTATTTATAAATATATTCCATTTGGGGGGACCCTCTCGTTTTTCATTTCTAAACAAGGTATCAATAGAATAGTGATGTACCAACCAAATAAATCTAGAATTGCTCTTGAGTTGGAATTGATTCTTAAAAAAATTTTAATGCCTTCATCCTCAAAATCACACTTGAGAAACTTATTTCGCCTATTAGCAATACCATATAGAATATTTTTATACTCCTATATGCTCTATTACAAAACAAAGAAAAAAGCATGGAAGTATGACAAGAAATATATAAAATGTTTAACTGGGCGATTATTTCATTCCTGACAGTCGGCTGTCTGACAGTCCGAGCTCCCTGCGCACTGCCAGGAAGCAAAGGCATGGAGAAGAGAAGAGCACCTCCTCCTCCCCTGACACACACTCCTCACACTCCTCCGGCCCACACCCGGGACAGGCATTCGGGCTGTGATTCTAGACCAAAGCAATGAGAAGTAAAGAATAAAGAACAAAGGAAGTGTTTTAAGTGTATTCAATTGTTATTAAAGATGAACTAGAAAGCAAACCAAACAAACAGAACATACCAAAAGCCAAGAAAAGAAAAAGCAGTTCGAAAACATTAGTTTTGGGCACTTGTACATCTCTCTTAAATATATGCATATTAAAATCCTATGACTCCACCCTTTGGTTTCTTAAATAAAAACATTTTGAGTCTTTCAGAGTTTGTAGCTCTCCTTCACTATTATTTTCTTTCCCGCACCAAAATGAAACTACTCTATTCATCTCATTCATTAGCTCACTGAAATCCTATTCAAATCTGACATATAAAAAGTAAGTTCAAATGTTAACATTTCTTCAGAAAATTTTAGTTCTCCACTTGAATGACATACCAACCAGATTACTCAGCCAGTCTAAAGATGTAGTGGATGAAAAAGAAATTCAGGAAGTCCAGAAACCTAAGAAAATACTGCAACATTATCACATTTGAAACCTTAAACTCTCTGGCATAACAGTCAACCCCACACAAATAACTGGTCCCCATCTCCACCCCACAGGGCCCATTACCTCAATCATTCTGCTGTCCACAGGGAGGGTGGTGCTGACCATGTGGACATTAGGTGTGGACGTCGACCTCTGCCTCTGGGAGAGGGAACCTTCAGAGGAGGGGCTGGAGGTGTTGAACGTGAAGGCGTGGGGTGTGGAGTATCTGTGCTGGGAACTAGGCAAAGGAGAAGAAAGGCGATTCCGTAACAGACACTTAGGCCCCCCCCCCTGGAAAAGTTACTCAACTACTGACTTAATTAAGATGCTCTGGGACAAACCCCACTTGTACTACAACCTTTTACAAATGTCCTTTTCTTTCAATATGCATCACTTAAAAATTTTCTTCTGCCTAGGTGCTTTATTTTGGCATGCAAATTTTTAAAAAGGAAATAATATATGCTCTTGGAATTCACGTGAAAAGAATACCACATTATAAGTTGTCTTCTTTTTAACAAATCACCTCTAGATAACACTCCAAATATTTAGACCATCTCTGGGAAAGAACAGATTAGCATTTGCCAACCTACTAAGCTAGCTGGAATTTGCCCAATTTAATTCAGAGACTAAATTAGAGAACTTTAAGGAAAATTATTTAACAGATGGTTAGACCTGCTGAGCATGTATACAAAAAGGCCAGCATTTTATCTGCTGTCCATCCTTTCCCCCCATAACTAGCTCACAAAGTCTATTAATGGTATTTCGGTTTCTAGGTTGCAGTATCTAACTGTGAAACTAATCACTGGCCTCTTTCAGAATGCCATTCTCCCACCAACCGGCCTGGAAACACACATTAAGTATAATGCTTTCACTATGTGCTCTAAAGATGTTTTGTTCTGATTCAAGTTAACTGTGCATGAAGTCAAGGGATGAAAGGTTAGTTTTTCTAACAGAAATCACTCTGTTGCCTTGGAAAACTGCCTTCCCAGGTACTTCAATGTTTTATGCCCTCAGAGTCCTGGCTTCTTCTGTGAAATCTTCAGAAGCAAGCAGTGTTTTGGTCAGATGTGCATTTCAAATTGTCAAGAAAAATAAAATCACGCACAGACATATGTCCAGGTATTTTTTCAATACAAATCCCTTATCCTAAAATATGCTGCTTTTAACAATTCTATGGTAGTTTTATAAAGGTCATTAAACATTATATAATTAAAGTAAGATTTTGGACAGATATAGATTTTTTTAAGTACCAGAGTCACATATAACACTAAGCAAGACATGAACTCCACAAAACTCTGATTTTAATGATGGAAAACAGAGTAAATATAAGGTATATTCAAATTCACAGGTATATTAGAAAAAATTTTATATTAAAAAACTAACTAGATTCTTTTTTAAGATAGCAGTTTATTAAACATCATGGTCTTAGCAATGCAAGACCATGTAAGCATTTCAAAGCCGAGTGATTCATTTTCATTACATCACTCTATATAGTTTTGGGACCCTTTCCCTGAGGCTCACCTCACTACATACTGGAGGCAAAATCTCAAGGACTGAAGAATGTGATGGTATTAAGGGGCATATACCATAGCAATAGAAGATATCTCTAGTCAGGGTCACTTTCCAGAATGCAAGAACTATAAGACCACAAAGAAAAAGTTCTTTGTTTTGCTCTAACACCAATATTAAGTTCCACAGAGGCAGCAAAGAATTTATACAGAGAGAGGAGAGAATGCAAACGAATCCTTTTCTTTTGTATTCAGGATTCAAGACCACCCTCCCCAATGTAACTAACAAAAAAAAAATTTTATAAAAGCTGGGTAAAACAAATTACCTAACAGGCATCCGGGAAACAGACTCTCGCATTCGACGCATTGTCAAAGAAGGCAGCGCTGGGACGCCACTATCGCCAAGAGTGGAATTTGGAAACAATCTAAATGAAATCAGAGAAAGACTAGTTCACTGACTTGGAGTAAATTTTAGAGTCAACCCTGCCTTGCCTTGCAAATTAACAGCTCCTCAAACTAAACTTTTCCTATTCACATTTTCTTTGATCACTTTAAGCTACCCAGAATAAAGAAATCACCAACCCAAATAACTGGGTTTGAACTGTGAATAATATTGATCTGCCAATGCATATACAAGCTCTATGTGTTTTTAGGAAATACTTATGTCACAATACTTATGTCAAAATAATATTTCTTAAAGCTCCAGTAAGGCATTTTTATAACAAAAATCACATAGAGCTTTTCTGGAAACATTCTGTCTTGGAAACACACAGGTGAAGACTGAAATATGAAGAATAAATCACATTCAGCACCAGAAGCCGTAAGAGGAAAAGTGATATTGACATTAACTGGGCATCATCTACCTGTGAGATGAGCACTTGGGCTCAGCAATTTCACGTTATCTCAAGTAACAAGAACACTGCAAGGAAGGTTAACAACCTTTTTCCAGATGAGTGAACTAAGGCTCAGAGGTGGTTACAGTTAGTTAATGACAACACTGTAATTTTAACCCATGTCTGCAGGACTCCAAGACCTGTGTTATTTATCCTACACAAGGTCTCTCTGCAAAATCAATGTGTCACTACGACAAAAGCAAGATGTTCTCATTGTGGTTTAATGATTACATTGTTTATTACTCAAAAAGATAAAACTTCAACTTTGACTTTTCATATCCCTATTAACAGTTTTTAAAAGGTACTTTGGAATATGTAATTTTTTTAAATTTATGTTTTTATTTTTAGAGAGAGGGGAAGAGAGGGAGAAAGAGAAGGAGAGAAACATCATTGTGTGGTTGCCTCTCACACACCCCATACTGGGGACCTGGTCCACAACCCACCGAGACATGTGCCCTGACCGGGAATTGAACCAGCATCCCTTTAGTTCACAGGTCAGCAGTCATTCAACTGAGCCACACCAGCTGGAGTTAGAATATGTACTTTTAATTTAAACCTTACTAAAAGACGTTTGTCTATCAGAAATATATTTTGGTAACTAGTTTGTCCCCTGAAGAATGCAAATGTCTTTTAAGGCTGTACATTCAAATCATTTCAAGGTAGTTTCTCCAATTTGAAGTGAAGATAATGCCCACTAGCAAACTAATAAATGACATTGTCTTTTTGGTTTTTATATCCCTTTGTTCTCTGTGTTACTGTATCACAGTATGACAACCTCTTTATGATAGTAATAGTCCTATCTTCTATTTTAGAGAGTTATTCCATACTAAATTCAATGGTTTCAGTGATGTCATGTTTCTAAAGTAGGTGTTTCCAGACCACAACAATTCATTTACCAAGTCCAAAACTCTTGACTTGTCAAATATACAGTAAACAACCTCAAAAGAGGTTATATCTCATCTCCTTATATTATTTTTAAAAAGGATGATGCCTTACAAGAGTTGTCTGACATTACTCCAGTCCACACACATAGTAGGTACTTTAGTGCTACAGTGCTCATGAAATTTGTAGCCACAAGTCTGACATCGAAATCCATTTAGCAGGAACTTCTGACACATGTCACAGAAGGCAAGCTTCAGGAAGGTCTTCCGAGCCTGGAATGACAAGAACATGGTTGTAAATTATGCTGTAAATTACAAATGAGAGGTGACAAAAGATAAAGTAATGTCCTTCTTGACCCCAAGGGGTTTCAGAGAATGAAAAATCATACTTCCAACATTTGTAAAATTCATACCTAGAAATTAAAGTATATCTATGACGCACTGGCTGATGTAGCTCAGTGGATTGAGCATGCGCCTGCAAACCAAAGGGTCGCCGGTTCAACTTCCAATCAGGGCACATGCCTAAGCTGTGGGCCAGATCTCCAGTACATGGCACATGAGAGGCAACCACACACTGATGTTTCTCTCCCTCTCTTTCTCTTTCCCTTCCCCTCTCTCTAAAAATACATAAATAAAATCTTAAAAAAAAAAGTGTATCTGTGACAAATGAAGCCAAAATGGCCTTACCGTAAAACAGTGGCATAACCAGAGACTTAAACCATCCAACAACATATATGCTTATCACCTCTGAGAAATTCCTGGTCAAAGCACCAAACATGCCACAAAGAGAGAAGAGATTTGCAACTTACAAAGTTGTGTGTTGTGAGGGGAACGTGATCCAGGAAATCTACTTGAAGTTCTTCTCCAATCAATGAGGCAGCATCAGTGTTCCAATCTAAACGTGCTTTTTTACTAAAGGGGATTTTAAAAAACGTAACACAAAAGGGAAACGTTTAAACAACGTAAGAGTTCGATACCAATAATAACAATAGTTACTACTTATCTCCTGCTACATAAATGCCAAACTTAATCACACACAAAATAAATTCACTTAATTCATGGAATAAACCTATGAGGTAGGCATTATTATTCCCATTGTTAAAAATGAGAGAACTGGGCCCTAAGAAAGTAACTTGCTCAGGGGAACACAGTGGGTGTATGGATTGATTATTAGAATCCAAGGTGGATTGGACTCCAAAGCTTATGCACTTAGAATAAAGTTTCTTTAAAAAATGAAAAATCTCATGATAAAGTAAATATGCAATAAATTGGACTTTGTGATTTTCAAAATCCTATAAAAAAAACCCTAAAATCCTATAAAATGGGTTATATATACTGCCACAATAACAAAATTTAATCTTCACTTGCCAACTTCAATCTAGAAGATAAATATAAAGGAAACCCAAATAAAATGTATGTTTCTATTAATACTAAGTTGGCCAAAAAGTTCCTTTGGTTTTTTTCCATATGATGGCTCTAGTAGTGCTTAGTTGTCTTTAACTTCATTCAAAACAATTTTGTTAGACTGTATTGTGACAGCTGTCACAATATCAGCGTGCATTAAAAAAAAAAAACATCAAAATTGCTAAATTTTTGGGCAGGCATTTTAATATTGAAGATGGGAGAAAATACACAAAATCTACAGCATTATTATCCTTTATTATTTCCAGGAAGGTTGAAACACAAAAAAGATTTGTGCAGTGTATGGTGACTGATCGAACACGTCAAAAAGTGGTTTTGCAAAGTTTCATGCTGGAGATTTCTTGCTAGATGACACTCCGTGGTCAGGAAGACCAGGTGCAGTTGACAGCAATCAAACTGAGACATTAACTGAGAACAATCAATGTTATACCACAGCAGGAGACTGCTGACATACTCAAAATATTCCAATCAATACATTTATTGATGAAAATGAAAGATGTGTCTTTTATTTTATCAAAAAAACTAAAATGACTTTTTGGCCAGCCCAATACTAGGCTCAGGTCTGTAAGTTTCCAGTCTCTAACTTGGCAGGAATCTTGACTGTTGTAATATTTACCCTGGGAGTGCTCTTTTTGTGCCTAAACAAGACAGAAAATCAGTACATTCAAGGAAAATGTAGTGCCCAGCTCCTTTCTCATGTCTTGTCTAGTAAATCAGGCCCATTGCCCTGAATGATGAATACTATCAAGTAGGAAGAGAACAACACATAATAAATATATCACCATTCAAATCTCTTCCTTTGCTAACCAAAAATATTCCAGGCAATGTTGTTGTTTCTGTTAGCCAATAGTAAATAACCTATCCCTTAATATAATTCTCTGTATACAAGGTCTGGGAAATCCCTTTTACTCCATAATGCTGTTCTGCCCTCCAGAAAAAAGAGGGGCGGCCCTGTTTTCCTACCAGTCTTCTGGTGCTGTCTATTCAAGAAGGAACCCCAGGTAGCTCTAACTAAAACAACGCAGCCGGATGAGAGTGGACCAACTTAATTTTCTCAGAACCGCTCTTGCCTTTTTTCTTAAACAACAGAACTGATTTCTCACAGTTCCAGAGGCTGGAAGTTTAAGATCAGTGTGCCAGCATGGTTAGGTTCTGGTAACAGCCCTCTTTCCAGATTAAAGGCGGCTGACTTCTTCACTGTCTACTCCCATAGCTGGGTTCTCCAGTCTTTCAGGAAGCACTAGACTGGTTTGGAGACCAACCTGGGGCTATACCCAGAAAAAGATGACATCTCTAACAAAGATTTGAGGCATAGCCTAAGTAGAGGAATTTATACTCATCCCTTTGAGTAGACTCATTCCCTGGGCTAGATTCTCAAACTGGGGGACTCTTTGAATTATAATAATGTAAGATGAAACCCAATACCAAAACTAGCACTTTCCAAGAAAGTGAAGATAAGGTTATTTACCCACATTTTAGGAAAATAGTAACAGATAATGGATAATTATAAATGGCTCTGATATTCTGGGGTATTTTACTCCTAATCTTGGAGAGGACGCCTCTATCTTGCCACTATGGATCTTCCATGAAACAAGAAATTCTTCTGGATCTTTTAGCCCTGTGTCAGTCAAACTGACACTGGGCTAGATGTAGGGATTCAGTAAATATTAATTGAATAAAATAAAAGTGAATTACAAGACAGTCAATCTCTTACGAGTAGCATTCTTTAACTATAAAAAGCAACATAAACACTTTCGGACTACCCACCCTGTGCACTGCATTAGAGCAACACGAATATCTTTGCTCTCAAGAAACATGCCATCTGACATGACTGTTTCCATCTATGGAAACACCTAATGTATTTATTTATTTATTTTCCTAACGTATTTATTTTTCAATGCAGTGTTTTCAAGCAGTATTTTCAAGCTCTTAACATTTTAATTTTCTAATCTATTACTTTGTAAACAAGGATATACAAATACACAGTATTTTACAGAAAGCTAGTACATTTTTTAAAAAGGAAAACAGCTAACATTTCAAGCTCGGAGATCCTTACTGGTGTGGAAGGGGAGCGGACTAAAACTCTTGGGCTCTTACCCTTTGTGTTCGTGGAGAAGTCTGAACACTGCACAGCACTCCGGTTGCAGGCCCCTCACCTTGAGTGCTTTCATAAGGCAGTCATGCAAGCTCATTCCATTTCGTACGTTGACCTACAAACAAAGGACCATCTTTAGGACCAACACAGGCTGCACGTCTCTTGGAAAGGTGAGCACAGAATGCATCACCATTGATTATAATGGTGTATACACACATACAACCAGAATGTCCAGCAACAGGTGAGTGCTGGAATGAAGTAACGAACATCTGTATATGTCGCATTACGCCACTACTATAATGAATGACCCGAAGGGAGGGGTGTCCATGATATGTTAATTATCCTGGGGAAATATATTTCAGAATAATGTACAAAGAAGGACTTATGGCCAAGATGGAAGTATAGGTAGATATGCTTTACTTCCTTGCACAACCAAAAGAAAGACAACGACAATATTAAAAACAAAAAACAATCGGAACTGCAAGAAAATCAACTGTATGGAAGTCCAACAGCCAAGAAGTTAAAGAAGAAACCTTCATCCAGACCGGTATGAAGGGAAGAGATGGGCAGCTGGGGCAGAGAGCATGCAAGACCAGGCAGTCCCACATTCACATGCAGATAAACTGGGAGGAACAACAGGGGAATGAGACAGACCACACAACCCAGGGTCCCAGGGTGGGGGGAAAAAAAGCCTCAAGCCTCTGACTAAAAAAAACCTGTAGGGGTTGAGGCAGCAGGAGAAACAGCCTCACAAGAGAGTTCACTGGAGAGACCCACAGGGTCCGAGAACAAACATAAACTCACCCACTGGGAGTCAGTACCAGAAGGGCCCAACCTGCTTATGGGTAGTGGGGGAAGTGACTAAAAATGGGGTGAGAGCTAAGCAAGTGGCACTGTTCCCTCTCGGACCCCTCCTCCATATACAGCATCACAATGCAATGATGTAGGTTGTCCTACCCTGGCAAATACCTAAGGCTCTGCCCCCTACAACATAACAGGTGCTCCCAGACAAAGAAATATGGCCCAAATGAAAAACCAGATCTAAACACCAGAAAAAGAACTAAGTGATAAAGAGGTAGCCAACCTATCAGATGCAGAGTTCAAAACACTGGTAATCAAGATGCTCACAGAAGTGTTTGAGTATGGTCACAAACTAGAGGAAAAAGTGAAGACTATGAAAAGTGAAATAAAGAAAAATATACAGGAAACCAACAGTGAAGGGAAGGAAACTGGGACTCAAATTTTGGAACATAAGGAAGAAATAAGCATTTAATGAGATGAGAATGAAGAAATAAGAATTCAAAAAATGAAGAGAGGCTTAGGAACCTCTGGAACAGCTTTAAGTGTTACAACATCCAAGTCATAGGGGTGCAAGAAGGAGAAGAGGAAGAGCAAGAAATTGAAAACTTATTTAAAAAAAAATAATGAAGGAAAACTTCCCCAGTCTGGTGAAGGAAACAGACTTCCAGAAAAGTCCAGGAATTCCAGAGATTCCCAAAGAAATTGGAACCAAAGAGGAACACACCAAGGCACATCATCATTAAGTTACCCAAGATTAAAGATGAGGAGAGAATCTTAAAAGTAGCAAGAGGAAAGGACAGAGTTACATACAAAGGGGTTCCCATAAGACTGTCAACTGATTTCTCAAAAGAAACCTTGCAGTCAAGAAGGGGCTGGAAAGAAGTCTTCCAAGTCATGAAAGGCAAGGACCTGCATCCAAGATTGCTCTATCCAACAAAGCTATCATTGAGAATGAAAGGGCAAATAAAGTGCTTCCCAGATAAGGTCAAGTTAAAGGAGTTCATCACCAAGCCCTAATAATATGAAAGGTTAAAGGAACTTATCTAAGAAATCAAAGAAGATCAAAAACTATGAACAGTAAAATGACGACAAACTCACTACTATCAACAAACGAACCTATAAAAACAAAATGAACTAACCAAAAAACTAGAACAGGAACAGAATCACAAAAGAGATCACAGAATAATACAAAGAGTAAAAATTATTCAGGTGGGGAACCTATAAATATATAGCTATTAAGATAGACAGTGGGTGGGAGAGATAAAATAATCAACTTTCTCTTTACATATCTCTAATCTGTCTAATTCACTGAAAGGTACCTTTCAGTGAAAGGTACATGGAAGCATAAACATCCACCAGGAAGAAAAATAAGCCAATCTGATCTGTAGACAAACGTGAGTTTTTCTGATCAAAAATTTGTATTTACAGGAACTAGTATAAAGAACACATGGACAACAACTAAGGGGGGTGAAAATGAGAGGGAGGTGGAGAGCATGGGGGGGTAGGCTGGGATGGGAGTAAAAACAGAAAGCTGTACTTGAACAATAATTAAATTTTAAAAAAAGAGGATGTATGAAAAAAATTGTATTTCAACTTATTTTCAACCAGATGATCTTCATTAAAAACAAAACCAACTTCATCTCACATGCACTTCACACTAGTTAGGGCAAACAGGAAGTGGAAGGGATTGATTCTGCCTTGCTGTAAGTACAAACCCACTGCTAATTTAAACAAATGTGCACAGCATCCCAGATAGTCTCAGCATTATATGCCCCTCCACACTCCCCCATACCCAATCCTCGAAAGCTAGGCAGGCACTCAGAGGCCTAGGAGGAAGTATGAGTGCCCACGGTGTTCATAATGACGGCTATATAAAATTTTCAACTAAAACCTTTGGAGTTTTTATAAAAACCCTATACATTGTATTTTTAAAGCCAATAAAGTTAACAAAAAGTAAGGCGACTATAAGAGAGAGTATGGCCAGCCACTAAGGAGAACAGAATGTAAATTTGCAGTTTAGAAACTGCTAGAGTAAAGCTCCCTCACTGGGTGAAAGTGTAACAGCTGACAGGGGCTGATCCACCTCCTTCCCAGACAGAGGTGTGTAGTCTGTATTTATTTTAAAGGTTTTAAATATTTTAAAACATTCACTTAAAATGTTCCATAACAAGTTATTTTAAAGGTTTATTGTCCTGGTCAGTTTGGCTCAGCTGGTTGGAGCATCATCCTGTAACCAAGAGGTTGCGGGTTTGATTCCCAGTCTAGGTGTATATAGTAGGCAACTGATCCATGTTTCTCTCACATCGATTTGTCTCTCCCCCTTCCTTTCTCTCTAAAACCAATGAAAAAAATGTTCTTGGGTGAGGATAAAAAATGTTTTAAAAAAGGTTTTCTGAAACAGTGATACTCTTAAAAAGATCATACTTACTTCTAGCTTTTCAGAAACGAAACAAGTAACTAAAGTGAAATTCAATGAGCTGAACTATGAAGATAGCAAGAATGAAGACAACAAAGAGTAATAAACACACATTAACAGTAACAAGACCTGCATCAAGTACTATGCAGTAATATTTTGAAAACTCTAAGTGGTACCTGTATTATATCATTAATCTCCATTAAAAGTAATAGGCTCTAAGAGCTAGCTAGACAATTTTTTAAAAATCCTCAGTCTAGTAGAGTTCTCAAATGTGGCTGTCATTGGAATCATGAGGGGCTTGTGAAATACAGATTCCTAGCCTTTCCCCTCTGACAGAGCCAAGGATTCTGATTCAGTTAATCTGGAATGAAGCCCCAGAATCTGCATTTTAACTTGTTTTGTCAGTTGATTCTAATTATCAGCAATGCCCCCCATGCTCCATCACTCATCCAACGACGACAGTAAGCAGTGACAGCAGTTAGTCAAAGATATGTGTTTACAAAATAAATGACAACAAAAATTAAAAAAATAAGCAACTACCAATTATTACTTCTAAAATTACTTAAATCAGACATACACCCTCCCTGTCATTCTCCTCTCTACAACTCTCCACAGATTCATGTTGAAGTCAGTTAAATCTGACTAATTTCTGGAGGCGACTTAGTGATGATGAGAGTTATTTTGGGTTCTAGCAGTGAAGCGGCCTGAATTAGAAACAACCAGCTGATGGTGCTGGCCAGCAGGTGATTCCCCAGCTGGGTACCTAGTGAAAGAAGCTGGTTCTTCCAGAGACAGACAGTCCTACTCTGGTCAAAGAAATAGGAGAAACTAACTTTCTCTGCCAGAACCGTCTCATGAGCTGTATGAGAAATCAAGTTTCCAAATCGCTGCTTCCCAACTACCAGTTGTGTTTAATCAAAGACTGCCAATGAATACAAAGGTGTAGAAAAAAACTCAGAAATAATCCGATACCATTTTGCTTATGAATTAGCCACTGTATTCAGCATGAGCCTCATTTCATAAAGGTCAGGAAACAACTCAAAATATTGTGTAACCTATCTAAATGACACAGCTAATAAAAGGCAATACAGGAATTTAAATTTTGACCTGCTGGGGACTTCCTGTCAAGATGGCAGCACAGGCAAACATGGTTTACCTCTTCACACAACCACATCAAAATTACAACTAAAATTTAAAAACAAAAAAAAACAAACATCACTCAGAACCATCAGAAATCAAGTTCAAAGGAAGTCTGACAACTATGGAATTAAAGAAACCACATCCATCCATACTTGTACGGCAAGCACAGAAGTAGAATGGGCTGGTCCGTCAACGACACGTGGTAGATAAAAATTTGGAAGGGATATCTAGGGAGCAAGAACTCCCAGCCCTACACCAGGCACCCCTAACCCAGGGTTCCAGTGCTAGGAAGATAAGTCCCCACAACTTGTGACTGCAAAAACCAGTGGGGACTGAGTGGGTGGAAGAAACTTCTGGACCCCAAGCAGTTCCTCTTAAAGAACACATGCACTGACTCACCTACTCAGATTCACTCCCTCTAAACTCTTAACAACTGGGTAGCAGCTTGAAAGGGACCAGTGACATACAGGGAGAAAATGAAATGTGTGGCATCAAGGCGAGCAGAGGTCACTGTCCCTTTTCTAAATCCTCCCCCAACAAAGCCAGCAAGCTGGTGCCATATAGACTCCTTCAATCTACCTGGCCTACCCAAACTGCTTTTCCATATGGGTTGATCCTGGCTCATGCTTCACAATTTGCTAAATCCTATCAAACAAACAACAGCTGCCCTCAGTGAGCCCTAGGCGTGGCACTACCAGCAGCCAGCCTAGATTTTCAACTTGGCTCCACCTGGGAATCTCCAAGCCCAGCAAAAGTAG